CATCTCCGAGGGTGGAAGGTTAGACAGGTGGTGACATTTGTTCTGTTGTTCCACAAATAAATCAGAAACCTCTTCTGGGAACAGTTGAAAATGAACACTCCTCAGGGCCTGGCTGAGAAGTCTGCAGGTGCACTTGGCAGAGGCCTGGCCTGAGCAGAGACCTTTCCTGCCCAGCTGGAAAGGACCTGGGGGTGACCAAGCCCAAGGGTTGTCAGCCCAGCCACATGGCAGCCACACAACCCTGGAGGAGTGTGGGCAAATCCCAGGGCCCCAACCACACCAGGACCATTGCTGGAGTGGAATGTGGGCATCTGTACTTTTTTTTTTTTTAAAGCTCCCCGCTGCTTCTAGAGTGCAGGTGGAACCAAAAATCACTGATTGATCCTCTATTGATTAACAGGGAAACTGAGGCCCAGAGAGGCGGGGACCTGCCAAGGTCATTCGGGACCGTAGGAGTGGGAGTAGAATCCAGCTCTCTGCCTCCCAGGCATCCTGCTGCCCCCAGGGATAAGGGAGGGGCCTCAGTTGGGAAGCTCTGAGCTCTGAGCACTTTGCATTCATTAGGTCATTTAAACCTAATGCCCAGAGGAGGTAAGAAAGGCTGCCTGCCCATCCAGGTGGCATTCCATGACACCGGTGAGAAAACCATCCCAGGAAGGGAGCAATCACATCGCTAAGCCTCCCCCACCCCAGGCTTGACTGAACTGGGATTCAAGCCCAGGCATCCGCTCCCAGGCCGTCTCTTACCTGGAGGTGACCCTGACTTGGTGATGAGTTCACAGCTTCTGACCTGGCTTGGCACCTGGTCTCGAGAGGTTCAGGCAGTTCTAATCTTCTTCAGGGCCACTGGGAGCTTTCAAACGGCAGATTAGTGAGGAGTCAGGACAGGCAGAACCGCGGGGCTGCCGGGCAAAGGAGAGAGGAGGTTCCAGCACGCACGTCTGCTGGCGGGGGCCTGGGGTCCCCCACAGTAGTTGGGGATGGGGAGCCTTCTCCCTGCATCCCCTCCCAGGCTGACCCAGGTCTTCAGGGCTCCGGGAGCCTTGCCCAAAGAACCCATTTCTTTCTTTGCTCTCTGCTTTCCCATCTGGTCCCTGTAGGCACTGGAGTCTGAGACCCTGGCTTTAGGGTACCCGCACCAGCCACAGCAGTAGCCCTGGGAAACTGGTTAGAAATGCAGATTCTCTGGCCCCACCCCGACCTGAGTCAGAAACTCTGGGTGGGGGCCTGGCAAGCTGTGTTTTCCCAGTCCCTCCAGATGTTTCTGACGCACCCTCCAATTTAAGAACCACCCCTTTAAACCCTTGCTGCTCAGAGTGGGGTCTCTGCAGCAGATCCTTGACCCCACCTGGAAGACGTCTTAGAAAAGCCCGTCTGAGCCCTCAGGCTCCCTGAATGGGAATCTGCATTTGAACAAGATCCCTACCCCCCCCACCCCCAGAAACTTCCCATGCACTTGAAGGTTTGAGCATCACTGCCTTAGTATGTGAGGGCCCCCCACCAAGAGCAGAGTTTCCCCCACCCTGCCGGTGCCCCCTTCCCATGTAGAGCTGGGGCAAGGCCCTTGCAACCCTCCCTGCCCCCCCCATTTTTGGTTCCATAACGTTAATTTTACAATCTCCCTGGAGTGGGTCCAAAGCAAAGTTTTACGTGATATGATTACACAAGGTGAATTGTCCTGGATCTCTTTAATGAAACAGACTGTGTTTAATGATTCCGCGGGGAATTAAGCGCAGTTAGGCTATTCATCAGGCCCCGGTTCCTCCCGACAAGAGGAGGGAGCGCAGAGGGGCCGGCGGGACCCTGCTAGGCGCTCGCGGGTGACAGTTTGGCGAAACCGGTGCCGTGACCCATGGTCCAGGGCTCAGCGTGCCTTCGTGACCCACGGTGAAGGGGATCCTGTACTCATCAGGGCTTTTGTTTTTATTCTTCTTCCCGATGTAGTAGTTCAGGAGCCCCCAGGGAGGAATCCGGGGGGTAGGCGAACAGCTGTTGCTGAAGCAGCCTGGGGCACTCGAGTGTTGTCGGCGGGAAGCTCTGACCCAGCTGATGGGACATGAGGGGGTGCATCTTGGTGACGCCAGGGCATCCGCATCAACAGTCCTCGTGACAGCAGTCGGCATTGAGGGAGGACCTCCTGGTTCCCAGGCCCGCGGTCCTTGGCTGTGTGCTTCCATTCCATCTGTACATGCAGGATGCAGGTCTTAGCACAGTTGTTTTGCGGATGGGTAAACTGAGCCACGAGGAGACCGACTGAGGTCCCCACGCTGTCACAGCTAACGTAGAGAGGAAGTGGGTCGTGAATGCTGCCAGTCTGCCTCCAAAGTGGGCTGTGCACAGACCCCGAGTCTTAGATGACACCTGAAGGAGCTGATCCAAACAGGAGCTCTAGAAGGGCTTGTAGGAGGGCGGGAGCCAGGCTCAGTCTGGATAGACAGGGTTCGAATCCTGTCTTGGACAAACAAGGTATGGCCTGGAGCAGCCTCCTTCCCTCCCCCCCCCGCCCCCCGTGTGTAAAATGGGGCTAGTAATCCCCACTCTCCAGGCTTCTTGGGAGCAGAAAATGTAAAGTGACAGACACACAGCAGGTGCTCAGGCCCCATAGGCTCCCATCCCAGGGCGATCTGCCATCAGCAAGGGGGCCGTGCCATCTCCAGCCCATCTGCACCCAAGGCTGGGGCCATCCTCTGCAGGACCCCGACCACCATGCAGATAGGTCCTCCCTCTTCCTTGAGGACCACTGTGCAGCGCCCCCTCCAACAAATACTTGAGATGGTTGGTCAGAAGTGGCCAAGCCTAGAAATCCGACCTGCATGCTCCTGGGCAACGGAGTCCTGCCTTCATCCACCTGGGCCTCTGCCATAAGAGCAGCCCGTGTGCTCAACCAGCAGGGATGCAGCAGGGGACTCGGGAGGGGGCAGATTCTTAAAAAAAAAAAAAAAAAAAAAAATTAACAGATTATGTACATGCTCTATGTTTTTCTAATCACTCAGATACATCTGGTCTTGACCCATTACAACAGTGTGGGCCCAATTAGCCAGTTACCTTGTAAATCATCTATCCTAAAGAGAAGAGAGATCCTTGTCCCCAGCGTCTGTGTTTCCCTAGCAGCAGTGGTGGTCTAGGGGGGTGTGGGGGGAGAAGGAGCCTCACCACAGGGTCTGATGTGTTTTGCAAAGAAATAGGAGCCCTTTATCATGTCACAGTTGGGCGGTGGGGAATTCCAATTTAGTTCAACAGCCATTTATTGAGCCCCTGCTGGGGGTAAGGCAGTGAGTGGGAGGCAGTGGGGGTGAGGCTGCTGGTGCCTGAGAAAGATCAGGACCTGGCCTCAGACAGGCCTGGTCTGGATGGTGCTGCCTGGCTGTGTGACCTTGGGCCAGTCACTTCCCCTCTCTGAGCCTCCTGTTTCCTCACTGGTGATACAAGTCAACAGTAGCCCTTTCCTTTCAGGGTAGTCTTTAGGATTAAATGAGATCCTAGGTACCCATCACCCAGCCAAGGAGGAGGCTTGAGTTACTAAGAACAAACTGGGCTCCTCCAACCTTCCTTGGGAGACTCACAGACCCTCGTTCAATAAGCAGATCCCTCTGGAGAGTGCAGGGTGGTGTTGCCACTGTGAGAAGCAGTGGGTCTGGCTTCAGGGTTTCAGAGCACCTGTCCTGTGATTGTCCAGTGGGGCTCAGGATCCCTTTCTCCCTTCCCAATGTCCTCCGTGACCCCGCCCCCCCCCCCGCCCACCGCAGTTACCCGGCTTCTCGTTCTGTCCATTTCAGCAGCTCCAGGGCTGGCTGGTGGCTCTTTGAGGTCCTCTCTGGGGCTCCCCAAGCAAACATCCACATTCTGTTGTAGCCTGCCTTCAAGTCAGACCATCCTAACACACCTTCCCCAGGCTGATGGCAGTCCCCCCTGCCAGATCACCACAGCAAGGTAATAAACTGCAAAAAAAAAAAAAAAAAAACAGAAACCCAAACTGTAATAAAAAGAACAGTAAGGCAGAGATGACAATATAGATAATCCGACTTAAACTATACCCCAGCCCAGTCTATTGGAGAAACAACATATGTGGGAGGTGTGGAGGGGGGCAGTGAAGCCCAGAGACTGCACCCGGCCGAGCCCGGGGAGTCCGGGAAGATGATGTCCCGTCTCAGAACAGAATAATGGCAGGAAGAGTAATAGGCAACATTTACTGGGTACGGGGCGCCATGCTAAAACCCTCATATGCTTGTTTGTTTGTTTCTGGGCAAGTCCCTTTTATTTATTTTTGGTTTTATTTAGATGCAAGTTAGTTACCACAGAGTGTATTATTAATTTCGGGGGAGAATTTAGGGAGTCATCAGTTGCATATAACACCCAGTACCCATTACATCAAGTGCCCTCCTTAATGCCCTTCACTCAGTGACCCCATCCCCCCACCCAAACCTCGTACGCTTTTATCCACTTCTCTGTACAAAGGTCCCGTTAGCACCCTGTGAGTAGATACCAGTACTAAACAGGCTAGCTAGGACTACACAGGATAACTTGATAGTTAAAAGCCCAGACTTTGAAACCAGACTGTTTGGTTTCAAATCCTGGCTCTGCCAATTAGTAGCTGTGTGACCTTGAGCAAGTTACTTGACCTCTCTGTGCTTCACTTCTCTGTTAAACGAAGAAAAGGCTGGTAACCTGTCTCACAGGGTTGTCGTGAGGCATAAAGCGAGTTACTAGCGATACTGATACAAATGTATATAAAAATAGAGTAACATGCATTTATGGAGAAGGCTGGGCCGGGCCTGCGGTGAGCACCCAACAGGGGCTACTGTTCTCCCCAAAGAGAAGGAGAGGCTGAGAAGATTCCCGGCGGCAAGCTACAGCCTGGAGGTGGGAGGGACCAGGCCAGTCTGGGGATCTGAAGGAGCGAAGGGTGTTGCCGTAACTAACTTGATCACAGCCGCCGCCATCTGACCCTGGTCCTTTGAGCCCCTCCTCTCTCTGACTGGGCCCTGCCTCTTCTCCCCCAGAGTGGCCGGAGTTCGTGAGGAACTACGCCCCGTGGTGGGCCACTCACACGCTGGACTGGCTCAAGTTTGGCAAGAAGGTGCTGGTGGTGCACTTTGAGGACCTGAAGCAGGAGCTCTTCATCCAGCTGGGCCGCATGGTCAGCCTGCTGGGCGTGGCCGTCAGGGAGGACCGGCTGCTGTGCGTGGAGGGCCAGAAGGACGGCAACTTCAAGCGCTCCGGGCTGCGCAAGCTCGAGTACGACCCCTACACGGCTGACATGCACAAGGTCATCTCTGCCTACATCAAGATGGTGGACGCGGCCCTCAAGGGGAGGAACCTCACGGGCGTCCCCGACGACTACTACCCTAGATGATGCGTCGGGTGGGGAGGAGGGCGGAGGCCGGGAGTCCCCACCCAGCCAGGGGATCTCGAGACGCCCTGGGGACCCCCTACCCGCCTGTCCTCTCTTTGGTTTGGGGACAATCCCCATGGCTGCTGGTGGCCCTCAGTGAGTTTCCTGCATGACGAAGGAAGCTCAAGGCAAGAGACCGTCTGGGCACTCCCCACCCTACTCCCAGCCCCCCTTGGAGGCAGAGGGGGCTGCTGGTTTGGGGGCACTCCAGCCACATGGACCCTTTCCTGTCTCTTGTGCCCCTGACCCCACCCCCTTGGGGGGTCCCACCTGTGGGAGGGAGGGCTCACGGTGTCCCCGAGACGTGGGTGCCCCATTGCAGAAGACAAGGATCTTGATTCAAGCGCTAAAGGGACTGTTGCAGGAGAAAGTGGCCCCAGATGCTCTTCCCTTCTGGGCTGAGCATTCACGGCCTCCCCTTTTCTCCTCCACCCCCGGGGAAGCAGTGGCACCAATGTGGACCCAGGCCCCTTCTGCTAGAAGAAGGGTCTCTGACATGTCGGGTGGGCTGCGGAGGCTGTGGTGCTCCCAGGAGATGAATGGGAGCCACCACGTGGGCCCCAGCTCCCACGGCTTCTGAGAAACAATCTGGTTGCTGGACCACCTCAAGGGCCAGAATGCTGCCCTTTTCTTCCCCCGCTGTAGCCAGGAGGGGACCTTGGCATCTTTGATCCTGCTTTCAGAGTTCCTCAGGCGCCAGCAGTTAACCCCAGGAAGGCCACACGCCACATGCAAAACCTTGAGTAAGACTGACGGCCCCAGGAGCATCTCTCCATGGTGGGGCCCATTGATCCTACACTGCCCTCTGACCCTTACCAGGGGGTCCTTTACTATCCAGGTTAGAGAGCCAGGAGTGCTCCAAAATCAGGTGGGACCTTGACCCACAGAGACCCCCGCTACCTTTCCAGACTTCCCTTTGGTCATAGTCCCATGGGGCCAGCTTCCTGGAGATGGTTCTTTAAGGAATAGGATGGTTCTTCCATTTCCATAGAAACACTGTTCCCTTGGTGGTAAGACATCAAACCAAAGGATTCTCAAGGACCTGGGTTGCTAGTCATCGGTCTTAGAAAGCACTGATTCAGGATCCCATTTCTGGGATCACCGTACCACCTCGGACCACCAGTGGTTTCACCTCCAGCCCACACCTGCGCCTTCCCCTACCACGTAGATGCAAAAGCCATAGGTCCCAGATCTTTGCTATTCTGTCTGGAGCAACCCCCCAGTCAGCCCCTCTGAAGGCTTGGGGTGCAGGTAAATGCTCGTTCCCAAACACCCGAGAGACTGGAGAAGGCGAGTGTAAAGAGATATATTTTTTTAAGAGGAGTATAACAAATACATTCTGCCCCTTGGCAGCTGGCCACGCAAAGAGAAGAAGGGCTTAGGGATTGGGCCTGTGGTTCTCCTCCCTGACCCCTTCATCTGTGGGATTTGGCCCCCCGCCAGGGCCCAGCCAGGGGGGGGCCCTGAATGTATTTTGTACCATGTTTCTTTCCCCCAGCTAATTTCTAGTCTTTCAGGAAGCGGTAGAGGGCGTGGCCTCCCCTCCCACGTGGATGTCCGTGCTCTCTGGGAGACCCCGGGTCCAAGACATGGGCCCATTCTGCTGGTGGTCACCTCGGGCCACAAGCCTCTGTCTGAAGATTCCTCAGGTCAACACCATCATTAAAAGCGAGTTTTGTTGATTATTCTACCACATGATAGAGTGTTGTGTAAGGCGAGTTCACAAATGGGCTTTTCTCTTTTTTTGGTATAAGAGAATCGTTCTGGGGCCAGTAGTGGGGAGGTGAATTGTCCTGGATCTCTTTAATGAAACAGACTGTGTTTAATGATTCCGCGGGTGACGTCATTCCTTAAAACCCTTGCACCTGTCTGGCCAACTGTGCCCTGGGTTCCCAGTTCAGTCAAGGGGGTCCTCTGTCCCTCCCCTTGCTTCACTCCCCATCTCCGAGGGTGGAAGGTTAGACAGGTGGTGACATTTGTTCTGTTGTTCCACAAATAAATCAGAAACCTCTTCTGGGAACAGTTGAAAATGAACACTCCTCAGGGCCTGGCTGAGAAGTCTGCAGGTGCACTTGGCAGAGGCCTGGCCTGAGCAGAGACCTTTCCTGCCCAGCTGGAAAGGACCTGGGGGTGACCAAGCCCAAGGGTTGTCAGCCCAGCCACATGGCAGCCACACAACCCTGGAGGAGTGTGGGCAAATCCCAGGGCCCCAACCAACTGTGTTCGTGGATGTCATGATCTGCATTATCTGGCTCCCGAAGACAGCAAGATCCATGAATATTTTTGCAGATTTTGTTCCCAAACGTCAGCACAGTGCCTGGCACAGAGTAGGTGCTCAGTAAATATGGGAGGAAACGAGTGAAGATGGGAGGATTCCTGAGGTGGCCTGGGGGACTGGGCGGGACTCACCTCCCTGGGCTCACTGCCCCGTCCCCCCGTCCTTGACGGTGGCAGGGTTCAAAGGCGAGCGGGACCACTGGCGCAGCGGCAGGACCATCTGCATCAAGACGCACGAGAGCGGCCAGAAGGAGATCGAGGCCTTTGATGCCGCCATCCTGCTCATTCGTAACCCCTACAAGGCGCTCATGGCAGAGTTCAACCGCAAGTACGGCGGTCACATCGGCTTTGCTGCGCATGCCCACTGGAAGGGCAAAGGTACAGCTGGGGTGTGGGGGGGTGCAGCCAGTGCTGTCTGCTGCGAGGGACCCAGAAGGGCTCCCCGTGGCCCACCACCCCCTGAGCAGCACCTGCTGGGAGACGGGGGATG